AGAAGTTGGAAAGTTATTAGTTCCTTCCATCCCTGTCAAGCTTTCTCATATGGACATCTCGGTTGAATTCTGATACAACTTTCAACTGGACATGTATCATTTCCCTTTCCCAGCATTTTACTCCTACAAAAAAACACAGTATAACATGAACGTTATCCTGGAGAAATAATGGTTACAAAAATCAGTAGTACTGTTTACTGAATCAGTAGCCAATATGAGATTTGTATTTGTCTTTTTTATAACAAGGTTGCTTTGCTTGAAGAATTTTAAAACTCTTTTATCCCTCTACGGCCTCCCTTTGGCAAGTGTAATGTGTAGTCGCAGAAAATATCCATAATCCCCCACGAAGGGCAACAGAAATTCCAAGGGGAGGGGAGGGGGGGTGTCAAAAAGGAGGCAATTCCCAAGGGAGTAGGGGGTTGCTTACAGAGGTCTTTTTCCAGGGAGTTTGAGTAAGATTGGTCAGTTAATAATAAATAGCAGCTTCTCTGTTGAGAAAGCTATCAGTTATTTACTGTTACCAGTGTTTCAAAACAAGTATTATTGTTAGCATTGATCATGTTTTACCTACGGTCAGCTAAATGCTTTTTTCAATAGTTTTCTTTAATACAATAATTGTCATCGGCTCATGAATAAACCGTCAGGTGTTTTTTAGCCTGCGAGCAAGTTATCCTAGTTAGGCAAGCAAAGCGAGATTTGCGAAAGACAACGCGCGGGCCAGGGGCGCCGTGATCTCGCGAGGCTCGCTTCGCTTGCCCAATTAGGAGAGCATACTCGCACGCTAGGTGTTGCTTTATTACACAATTGATTCACCATAATTTGGTTGTGTTCTAAGCCTTCTTGCAACATGTTCTAACTAAAATGAAGTAATGAAACTTCACATGGTGTTTAGTTTGAATGTAACTGGTTCTTTTGTAGATGACATCTTTCGTGTAGTCCGTAGTATAAGGTTTCGCCTGTATGGTTTATCATTAGGTAAGCTGGACGTCCTTGAGATTATTAGCCACCTTATTAACATGAATGATATGATCTTTTCGCATTTTCTCGCAGAAAAAAAAATCTTTCGCATAAAAAAACATAGTGCAACAAATACAACATTTTTGACACAAATATACTTCCCCGAGGGTACTGAACCAAATTCCAGAGGGTGGGGGACTATAACAAGCAACCCCTACAGTATAAAATGGAAATTCCAGGGGGAGGGGCGGTGGGGGGGTCTAAAGTAAAAGTTCCCTCTGTGGGGGGTATGGATATTTTTTCTGGAACTGCACAATAATAGATGTGTTTAGTATTTTACTGACTGCTTCAGTGTATGTGGTGTCTTGAGTGATGGCTTCTTGCAAGGTTCCTATGGATGTACATGTTTACGTGGTAATTATTTTTTTATCTCAGGTAATTTTTATTTTTCAACTTTATTAGCAACATTACCATACCCAAAAACAAAAGAAAAACAAAATTTGCCTCAGATATATAAAAAATTAACTACAACATATACATAAATTGTTTTGTTAAAGAGTGAATGGTTTAAAACATTTGCATCATGCATTCTGCTTGATATTGAGGCAAAAACAGCAAATTTGTCTTCAAGATAACATGTAGTAGTAACAGCTGTGGGGGGGGGGGATCTTGCATTGTTACCTACCTGTTCAGATGATTAAGGCAAGCTTTCGGTTCAGGTTTTCATGCCCCCAGCTGGCCTCTGAGAATTACAATGAGTGCCTCATGTTCAATTTGCCATGCACAGACATTTTTCTGGAAAATTGAATGTGTGTTTTACCACCAGACAATAACTTCTACTTACACTGAAGTAGTAAGTTAAAATGACTAACAGTATTATAATAATATAATACGTTTTAAGGCAACTTAGGTTTCTGTGTTGCATTTGTTCTGTTTATCAAGAGAATTACTCTAGTTGACTGATTTGTTGCTAGAAATAATACTGTTAATTGTTTGAAAGTTGCTTATCCAGGGAAGGAAACAAAAATCCACTTGTCTAGTGGACAATAAAATTTCAATTTTTACTTAATAATGATAGTAATATTACTTGCACAAAGGTAACACAATGCCTTTTCATCTGTACAAAATAATGTGGTTCTAACTACATTGTTGTCTATATTAAGTCATACCTGTAAATATTTTGAGCAAAGTTAAAGGATTAATAATTTAATGAGGGTAATTGCACGGTGGAACCACAGGTAATCCAGGCTCACTATTTGTGTCACATACGGGTTTCATATAGCATGAGTAAATATAGAGAACATACAGGGCAAAGTTTAGGTCTGGAAATTTCTTAGAAAATGGAAATAAAAATCAAGAAAACTTACCATGTGGCGAGTTGTTGTTGTCCTTTATATGCACGTGAAGTTTCGGGAAAAATAGTCTCCTTCATCTTTCCTACATAGTATAGTGACAAGGTAGGAGGCTGACAATAGTGTTGGGACTCCGATCAACCCCAAACAAGCACAATTTTTTTTTCGTGAAAATCGAATCCAGTTGACAACTGGTCCAATTCAAAAATGTCACTGAGCTCGAGGTGCCTGGTGACAAGTATAATAATTACGTCCCCGTGGAGGAAAGGGTGCAGTCAGATGGTGAGTGGTACTCCCTTCCCTCCATGGGGATTCATTATACTTGTCACCAGGCATCCCGAGCTCAGTTGGACCAGTTGTGATTCTAATGGCTTCTGGCTGTCATTTTAATAGGTAAACATATAAGTTCTACAGAAACTACTGGCTTTGCGTTGCTAGCTGGAGTCAGGGTTTAGAGAAATTCATGTTCCATGAGGCTGGCGTGTTTATTTAGCAAATGGATTTGATTTTCGCGAAGAAAATCATGCTGGTTTGGGGTCCATCAGAGCCCCAGTGCTGCCGTCAGCCTCCTACCTTGTCACTATACTATGTAGGAAAGATGAAGGAGACTATTTTTTCCGAAACTTAGTGTGCATATAAAGGACAACAACAACTCACCACAAGGTAAGTTTCATCGACTTTTATTTCCATTTTCTAACAAATTTCCAGACCTAAACTTCACCCCATAAGCTCTCTCATATATCTCAAAGATATTTAAATAAACCTGCTTAAATGTGAGCACAATTACTGGCACCACACCCCGGGCACCACACACTGTAAATGTTTTACTATTAAAGGAATAATGAAAAAAGCTCGACGGATGGTTTTTACCAATTCACCTCACATTGTGTAAGGCACATGTGAAAAATGAGCAAAGAAAGACAAAAATCGTGTAGAAAATAAGAAGATAAAAACAATGCTTGAAAACTTATTTCATTGCAATGATTACAAGCTGAAAACCTTTTAATTATAGCACGTTTACCCCATAAGCTTAATTTTAACCATTAAATATGATGTCGCATTCGTTTGGCTTTTGTCTTTGTTAGTCAAATGCCAGTTTAGACCTCTTACTTTAACCGTACCTGCTCACATGGCCCAGGTTGTTGTCGCTCTGCAGCTAAACTGGACACAGAATTAACGTGAAGTACTGAAAAAAACAAATAACAAAAAACTGTCTCGTTTCTCAAACCCCACATGAAACATTTCAAGTGTTAAACCGTTTTTGCGGTCAGTTAAGCACCTTTTTTAATTGTGCGTTTCCCTTTTGAAGGGTAGACTTGAATCCGTACAAAAACTTCTGTAAAAAATACGAAACCTTTTCGATCCACCGACTTCTCCGCCATTTGCTTGTTCTTGGTTTGTACCACGTGTACGGCGTTTCCCAGGATCTTCGTTTGGACCACGTGACCCGAGACGCTCTGGCCGCGCGGAATAATAATGAGGCCCAGGAACTAGTTGAGGAGATTTTGAAAAAAAATTTCCTGTAAGCGCTTGTCGGAAGAAAATAATTGCATGCAGCACAAATGTAATAGAAAGCTTATGGGAAAAAAAGGGAAAAAAATATCCTGCCCACCAGATTGCTAGAAAAAAAAATTCTTGACGACCAGAAATCACCAACCCCTCCCCTCAAGAGGTAATGGTCGGCCTCTTTGTTGGAAGTTCTTGGCTTAGTTCTCGGTTCTCAGTCTGACCGAGAGTTAGCCGAGAGCCGGCCGAGAGTTTTACGACGTCCCAAAAGGTGAAAAAAGGAGGGAGAGGTAGAATACCATGACAAAAATTAATCTTTGTCTAGCATGGGGTTGTAAGGCTGTCACATACGGCGTTTTTCTGGTATGTGAGTTTGTCTTCTGAGAACTCTCGCAAACGCAACGGTAGTAAGCCGCAAAATAAGTCTAGCAAGATTTCCCCTGCAGAAGTCAACTTATCGTAGTCTTTAATATCCATGGACAAAACCTAACTGAAAAGTGGAAACGCTACAAAGATTACTAACTCAAGCCCTGAATAGAGCTGAACACCGCTTAACTGAAGTTTATAAAATATTGCGTTCTAGCCTGGAACCAGGCTCCTCAGTCTGAGAAAAAGCGGTAAAAACGGGGTCAAATTGCAAATAGGAAAAAATATCGGTTAGCGAGCTTTTTCCCACAATGCTGAGCCTGTTCCCAGGCTAACAGCGTTCGTTTTCAGCTGTTAAAATGCAGAAAACTAAGCTATAAAGATTTCAATTTTGGTTGGACCAGGAGCCGATTTTCTCACAATGCAGAGCCTGGTCCCAGGCTACTGGGGTGCACATGCTTGCACGAGATCGAGGCAAGTAAGGGTGAGGTTGCCTAGCCATATCCTTGGTAGTTACAGTCAATTTGCAAATTCAAATATGGGGTGTGTTCAAGTGATTTTGGTATACTTTATAGCGGGCTGTTCTCCCATCAGCTGTCCCATGATGTCCAATTCTAAATGCACCCCTAGTAACCGGTATACGGTATCCAAATTAGCAGCAGACTCGCAGAGAACGGAGGCCAAGAAACAAAGTCGTTTGACTTAGGTGGGACTTAATGGGATAACGCCCTCCTCGATTTTCAAAATCTGCAAATCACATTCAACCTCATCTAGAGGCATTATAGCAACTTAGCCATGCACGCGCCTCGGATTCGTCCACAGGCATCGCTTTGTGAGGAATCAATCAACCATCCAATTAATAAATTTGACAATCCTTTATTAATTCAGACATAGTAATTACATAGTGATTATTACAACAAGTCAGTTTATCGTTGCTTGCACAATTTACTCTCCATTTCATCTTGACAAGTTACTCTTTTGATCAAGTAATATTACTGGTTTTCAGTGTCACACCATTCAAAGTAAATCAAAATAAAAATCAAAACTGTTCAATAGATTAGCTCCAGAATCCGGGAAATGAAAGGAGGTAAATATTCAAAGACCCTCGCCAAGATTCAGGTCAGAAGAAAATTTCGTATACGAGATATCCGAAGAAATGTTTTCACAAAATTAATAGAGATTTGTACGGAGACGCCATGCTGGTGCCCATCCGGATGAGCACCAACATGGCGGCGGACGGAAACCAACACAGACATCTGTTACCGAGTTCTAATAATAATAATAATAATAATAATAATAATAATAATAATAATAATAATAATAATAATAATACTTATATAGCGCCGATATCAATATTGCTATTGTCATCAGCGCTTAAAAATAAAAATATTTTAAAAAAATACTAAGACTGCATAAAGTATACATGCAAAAAGTGTATGAACCTACCAATAAGAGTAAAACAATTATGTCAACACTAAAACTATAAAAATTACCTTGACTACTTAAATCGTAAAAAACTGCATAAAATCTACTAAAAACGAGATTAAAAAGCACATAAAATCACAAAAAAGCTTTCTGAAATAAAAATGTCTTGAGTGTCTTTTCACAAGATACTACCGAGGGGCTACTCCTAATTGAATAGGGCAATGAATTCCATAGTTGAGAAGCAGCAGCAGTAAAAGAGTTCTGCTACAAAAGCGTGAATTTATTCTTCGAGGAAGTCATAAACATTAAAGTAATAATTTTTCCAATACATGAACTGTTTAGATAGCAAAATTCCCTGAAATAAGCCATTTCTTTTACCTACAGTGACAGCTGTCTCGGCCGTCATGTAAATGCCGCGTCACGCAAAAGCGTAGAAATTGAAGCATACTCTATCACAAAACCAAGAACCCTTTTGAAGCGAAAACGTGTAAGAAAACTAGTTTTCAGATGCTCTAATTCATCGTGAAAGTAAAAAATCAGTTCTATCGACAGTTTTGTAGTTTACATTTTAGTGACGTCATGTGAAAACCAACAATTAAAAATTATTTTGGTGTCGATATCTTAAGTTTTGCAGCTAATCAAGAAACAACCTTAAACAATTCCCTAATAACAGGATGGGAAAACATAGACTATATACATTCTTTATATATTCCTATCACTAGAATTATTTAAACCTATTGATGTTCTTTTTTCCGATTCTATTTTAAGTCCTCATTATTTCGACCGCGTTTTTTGGCCCAAAGGTGAAAAACAATTAACGATTTCTTTACTTAGCCAGATTCTTGTGGCGCTTACGGCAGCAGTAGTCACTTTTCACAGTAACTCGTCCCTTAAATTATAATTCTGTAGGTTTGCCTGTTCAGACCAGGCTGCGTGTCTTGCTCCGTCCATCTCAGGTGCCAAGTCATTTCCCTCTTCTAGTCTATGATTTGCTCCACCAATCACAGCCCCGCATTCATTACACCTGCTTCTCTCCATAGCACCACCGCATTCACCAATGGCGTAGACGTGTCCCTTGGGACATTTGAACCAGTGCCCTTGCGACAAACTCATGGCTTCCACGATCTGTTTTTTCTCCTCTTGTGTCAAAGGATTAAGAGCCGAGTACGCTCTCCTGTTAAAAAATATGGTTTCTTAATGACAATCAACAATTGAAGGCTATGAGAAGATAGACGAAAAAGCAATCCAATAAAAAGTGAAAGCAAAATCAGTCGAGAATGCTCACATCAGTTATTCTGCGTTTTTGCTGACTTCACTTTGGCTTCCAATTAGAAATAATTGGTTCACTGGACTTACTGAGTGAGTCAATACTTTATGTAGTTTGGCTCTCATTTCACTGTTGGTGTCACGCGCCGGTTGTTATTATCCTCCCGCGTTTCATTGTTGGTTATTAATTTATTAACAATTAGCAGTGAATTAGAGAGAGAGTAAGAGAAAAGAGACCTCATAATATTACCGTTAATTCAAATAGTTAATAAATAAATAACCAACGATGAAACACTTAGCCTGCGAACGGCAGACGTTTCTCCTCGCTTATCGCCGCTGAGGGACGTTTCGCGAGGAGGAACGTACCTTTCTCCTCGCGAAACGTCCCTCAGCGGCGATAAGCTAGAAGAAACGTCTGCCGTTGGTAGGCTATGACAACCGGCGCGTGACCACATCAAGCATTGTGAAATCAACAACGGCTTGAACATAGTCAACATAGTTTTCGCATCGTAAAACAACTTCCATTTCACTTCGCACCACAGCAGCTTCAAGAATAAAACAAAACAGGTAAGAGTTTATCTCTTATTTAATTTCCATTTGCAGTTTACAAATAAGAGTGTGGGTGCCCTATGAACTAACGAACCATTCAACACTATTTATACCACAGGGCGCCCACACAATCTGTTTGTGTAGCCGATTGTTATTTTATAGTAAATGTACTGGATTTACCGTTTGCTTCACCTATAGCGATATATCGCTAACTATGTATATAAATCAATGATAAATAAACGTTGAATTACCTTGCCTGTGGTTTATAGTCGTCCTTTTGCCTCAAAAGCGGTTTTTTGAGCGATTTTGAATGAATTTGAATTCGCCGTTGACTGTTCCAAAAACCGCTTTTGAGGCAAAAGGACGACTATACACCACAGGTAAGGTAATTCAACGTTTATTTATCGTTGATTTATATACATAGTTAGCGATATATCGCTATAGGTGAAGCAAACGGTAAATCCAGTACATTTACTATAAAACAACAATCGGCTACACAAACCTATTGTGTGGGCGCCCTGTGTTTATACCTTACCTAATGGCTGCGAGATTATTCATCATCTCATAAAGCCTCTGATCTTCTATGCGTTTGCCGCTGGACAGTTCTTCACGCACAGTAGTTATCATGTCGCAGAAAGACTGATCTACCTCGACTTTCTCGACTGTGACATCATGACTAAGTAAACACAGGTCAAGATGAAGGCTTAATCTTGAGAACTCTGTGTTCACGTGTTGTAGTTCTTTTATCGTCGATGTTCCCGCCATGAAACGGTTTAGGAGATAAGCCAGGTCATTTCCAACTTGGCGCCCTTTTGAATAACGCAATAGATAATTAGAAATTCAATAAATTTAAATCTTACGGGTAAAAAAAAAAAAAGGAAACTAAATGCTATGTTTTTTCTGGAAGTGCACTCGGCTTCTCTGGCTAGTTTAGGCAATCCAGTCAAATAATTTAAATCAAATAAATAAACCATGATAATAGGATTAAAAATCCCAGCTGGCAGGAAGCAACCAGTTTCTTACTTACAAGCATGGCAAAGAAACTGGGGACGATAGAAAACAAGTAACGTTGGTCAGAGGGGAAGGACTTTTACAGGTTTACCGGTGATTTGGCCCGCATTGGTAGTCTGACGCGCTGGCAATTCGCGATCGTCCACGCTGCCTCCCTACCACTCCGGTAACGTAACCAAAAGGAAGCCCCTCTCCCATCGAGCTCAAGTCCTTTGTCTAGCAACAGAACCGTTGCTTAGGAAAGGGGATGGGGGGAAGGATGCAAAACACCCTTGTTGATTTCAGTGCAACTTTATATCTGTTAGAAAGTGCAATAGATGTGCTTCGGCTTAGGTGTTTTACTAACTTTCGGGGAATGTAGATATTGATACACACTAAAAATTTGTTGTCAAAAAATCACTTTTCAAATGACCTACCGTTGAAAAAATTTGCTCTGCATACTTCTTTTGGAAGCACTTTTAGATATTTTCCCGCTTTTTCAGTCATCAAGCAATAGCGTTCCATCAGCATAATTTTGTTTTCAAGAAGAGGAGATTTAAGCCTATTTTCCACCTTGTCAACTCTTTGCTTCAGCGTTTCCCAGACATGCTGGTAATTTTCTGCATTGAACTTTTCTGACAAAGTGATTAACCGACCCTTCAGTAGGCGTTTCTTGCTTGATAGTCCAGAATCGGCTTCGACGAGAATTTTTTTTTTTACTTTCTCTATATCTCGAAGCTGCTGCTTGATGACGTTACCATATCGCAGGCTACAGCGGATAGGCTTCCTACAACGAGGGCATGTTTTTAATTGAATCACTTGACTTTCGGCCGAGTCATTCTCTGACATGTCCATATACCTGAAACCCAAAAAATAAACACCAACTTGACATTATTCCTCAACAACTAACGTTATCGTTATCATCCACCCGTGTAGCACTGCGTTTTTTGGATAAACAAAATTAATCGGCTTTTGTTGGTAGGTTTGATCCTGTTCCCACTACCTAGCCGGGCACTCCTTGCAAAATAATAGGCATTAATTTAGGACTGGTCATATGATGAAGCAGTCTATGAAGCAGATTCTTGGGGTAGGAGCAAGGAATATTGTATAGCTTTTTGAAGGATTCATCCCCATCATTACATCACCGAAAAGGAGGAGGTAAAGGTTAAGTCTTCACTCAGGCCAAGTGACCCCACAGGCCGGAGCTACTTCGCTCCCCTCCCGTCTTTAGGTGTAATGCTAGCCCATCACTGGGTAACTTCCCATTAAATACATAAGTTCACATTAGCAAGCTTGGGTGGATTTCACACTGTGCGAGTGATGTGTCTTGCCAAGAACAAAGAAAGACCTAGAGAATTACGTTGTCTGAACAAGATGTGAAAACAAGCTGAAATGTCTTAATCTGGCTTTCAGTTAAATGTAGGCATTAACCATTTGTATGTCCTGGTCGCACCTCCGCAGAGAAGGGAGACGCCCGTTTAAAAGAGACTGGGTAATCATGGGTATACTTTTACAAGGAACTCCAAGGTACTGGATCTTCGTTTTAAGAAACGTGGCTCCAATGCGTCTTGCCTATCAAATCAACACCGTTAACAATCTTAAAAAACATCTGGATCGCTGTAACTTAAATCGCCTCAAGATTTATCATGATAAATTCTAAAGAGATTTTGGACGTAAAGTTAAAGTAAATATGCGCGGCATAAAAGTTCAAGTAGTGCAAACTTGGATAAGAGAATTATCCTCAGTTGAACTGCGATGACTACGTCTACTAATGTAAGATTAACTGCTATGTAGGGTATTACATACCTGTCAATATCAGACACTGCAAAGATGTGTCCACAGTCTGGCAGCTTCATAAATCGTGCGTCCTCATCTTCCTCTCCACCTAAGAAGATTGTTGTGATGGGATCGACACCGTCATTTTTGTCGCACACTGTACAGATGCATTCCTTCTGGCACTCTAAACCACGACAAACATGATAGCAAGGGAGAATTTTTTGGCACGGTCGGTTACATCGTGGCCTATCACACATCTCATGGCACCTCTTGAAACACTTGTGATGGCGACATTCCCAAGAACATGGCTCGCGACATGGTACACAGGAATCGCCACACTTTTTGGTACATTTACTGTGTACACAACGGTTTTCGCAGGTTTTTGAACAAGGTGGACACGGCACAGCGCAGGTTTCCTTGCACACATGTGAACAGACCAACACACGACCACACCTTAATTTGCATCGTTGGTGTATTCGACCCATTCGACACTCGCCACACTTTCCTGGGCACGTGTGACCACAGTCCAAATTGGCCCTACATGGAACTGGGCAGTCAGAGGGGGTGGCTGAACAGGCAATAGTAACTTCATGTCCACAGGGCCAATCACTCTGTTTCACAAGTTCCATACATTTAGTGGTACAAGGACGTTGGCATTTGTTTTGGCAGCGATGATTGCAAGACAAAATGTTGTTACATCTTTCTTTGCAAGGAATTCCGTTGAGATCAGTGAAGCATTTTACTTGTGTGATGTGGCCACAATTAGGCAACGCTTTTTCTACAAGCACCTTACATTGCATTTCACAAGGCTCACTACAACGATTTGGACACGTGTGGGTGCAACCTTCAATGTTTCTTCCACAAGGCTCCCCGCAGACGTACTTCGTATGTTTCGAATCACCGGAATGGCATAGGAGTTTACAGGCGTGACCGCATCTCAGACGTACCTCACATTTCCTTTGACATCCCCCGTCAGGAACTTTTTCACTAAAATCTTTTGCTGTTTCAGCTGCCACTTCATCTTTGTGGGTTTCACAAACAAGAGGCAAGGCGTTTCCGATGCTGTCACTCGCTTTTAAATCCGCCACTATTTTGCTCCAGATCTCACTGTGCTTAGAAAGAAGATCAAAGTTTCCAATGCAGTAGAACCCCTTCTTGGCACGGGAGAGCGCCACGCATGCGCGGTTCACAATCTTGATGAAACCAACTTTTTCGTACTTGTTACTCCGCACAAGGGAGAGGAGGATGATGTCATTTTCTTCACCTTGAAAGTTGTCAACGGTTGACAGGCGAACACCTTTGAATTCTTCGCTGTTTTGCTGTTTGATGCAGTCCTTAATTGCAAACACCTGTCCAGTGTAGGTGGTCAATAATGTTATTTGTCCAGCACTGTAGCCTTGTTGAAGTAAGTAGCGACACAGGGCAACCAGGAATGCAGCTTCGTGCTCGTTAGAGTGACTGTGCGATTCATCATTACTGTTTTCCAAATGACTGTGGTTGACAAAGAACATGTTCTTCTTAATTCCTTTGATGTCTTTATATTCTTTCACTGACTTGTGATTCTCAAGATCTGGGTAAATGTGCTTTAACAGAGCAGCAATTTCAGGCCTCATGCGATGTTGGACAGACAGTTTCTCGCACGGGATTCCAACATTCACCATTCTCTCGAACAACGACACGTCCAGATTGTACTTTTTAGCCAATTCATAGACAGTGGGGTTGGGTCTAAGTTGTTGATGATCGCCGATCAAAATCAATTGCTGGCAACCTTTTGATAATGACGTTATAAGATGAGCCTCCAACACTTCAGCAGCTTCCTCAACCAGAACGATTTTCGGGGAAATCCGCTGCAGAATGTGACGGTACCTTGCAGCGCACGTGGTTGTCATGCCAATGACACGTGCCCGTCGAAGGACATTGTATTCTATCATGGTGTCTAATTCTTTGTCACGAGACAGCGCTTCTTCGAACTCTACTTGACAACTTTGCAAATTTTCCTGTTGCTTTTTTTCTAGCCTTTGACTCCACAGTCTGTATAACCTCCAGCGGTCGTGTCTGTTCAGCGTTGTAAGGGAGCCAACACGTCGTTCTTCGTCTTCACTCATTGCTTCCCTCTTTAAATTTCTTTTCATGTGATTAGGATTATCCGAGTCCTTAATCGAAAGAACGGTTATTTTCTGAAGTTTGGTCATCGTACGTCCCTCGATGTCTTCTTCGTCGCTGTCAAAATCGTAACCAGGGACAGATACCTCCATCAGAATATCATCTCTGTTATCATCGTTTGCATTCGATCTGCCATTCCTCGCGATGTCCAGCCACTCTAACAGCTGATCATTGATAGACAGTCTTCCAGCTAAGGTGCAAAATTCTCTGTAGTGTTTTCTTTGTATGCACTCTTGGTCTCTAAGGAAATCTAAGGAGATGATACTTGACTTTAAGGCCTTCATCAAGAGAGACGACTGCTGAAAGGAGTGTTTTTGCATTCTGATGCCCTTCCTTGTCGTTCTTCTAGCATGGGCAACGGTTGATGCCTCCATAGTTCTAAGTGATTTTAGATTGAATGGCTTCAGGGTGATACTTTTGCTCCGCCCACCAACACGAACGATACCTGGCAAAATGATAAAAATCTTTTTTTAGAAAACTGCTGAATAAAGCAAATCTTAAGGTGAAAAAGTACATTCTGCATTCGAGCCGCCATGTGGCTCATCAGATCGGAGCTTAAACCAGTTTCTGTAGTTTGAAGCGACCAAGGATACTTACCTTCCCTTTCTGGACGGGATACCACTGCATCGCCGGGTTACCCCCAGCATTAAATTCGTTGGTATCCAGTACACATGGATAGAGCGAGGCATTGTGAGAGTAAAGTGTGCTGCCCAAGAACACAACTCAATGACCCCGGTAAGGCCTGAACCCGGACTTCCTAATACGGAAACCCAAACCGTTTTAACCACTGGATCACCCCGCTTCCCACGTAAAGAAATTATGTGTACTTTTTGACTTGTTTTGTTCATTTGTTAATATTTTTTTGAGGCCTAAATTCTCGTCTTTAAGACACAGTGATCTGCCCAGCTACACATGATGCAGTGAAAGTGACCTGAAAGTACCACGCCCAAAATACTTCAAGGGTCATTTTTGAAGAAACGACATTTTTGCGTTAACCAGACTTAGCAAACTACTCTCTACATATCTAATCAGCGGAGGTCGCCGTTTACGTATTTCAAATCGGCACTGTATGTCATCTAAAATCTAAAAACGCAGCATCAGAAATTTTCTGACATGTTATTCGCGGTAAAAGTGGTTTAAACTCTTCTGAAACCCTAAGAAATCTTTTGTATTCTTTACATTTTAGCATGTCATTGAGCGAAGACAGTTTTAAGACCTAAATTTCTCATCTCACCTCGATTGGAGATTAGGCCCTCTAGAAACTGGTCCAAGGCGTGATTCGTATATGAGACCATCAAGATTGGAGAACTTCCCTTCTCGTCTTGCCAAAGTGACGTGTTATCTAGAAGTGCTTGAGCTATTTTCAATCCAACAAAGGTCTTCCCTGTCCCGGGTGGCCCTTGAATTAAAGCGAACTCTTTGGTTAGTGCCAGTTTAAACGCCCGCATCTGTGATTCGTTAAGGCCCAAACTTTCTCTATCAGGCCAATTGAAGATTTCATGAGGCATTTCGTTGTCCTTAGCTACGTCAGGATTATCCAAGGACTCGGTACATGCGTCTGATGACAATTCTCCGGACCCCTCTCCCGGTTGGCTGGAATCTGTCCCAAGCGCATGCTCACTGGCCACCTGTAACCTTGGTGATGACGAACGGTGATTACTGACGAGTGTTTCTGGAGATTTCTTCTTCAACAAAACACGATCAAATTTAAAGGTGAAAGAATTATTCTTTTCATCATCTTCCTTTCCATGCAGCTGATACGCCGGGGGTCCAATGTCCTGACAGCATTCCACAATGTATCGTTGAAATGGAAATTCTCCGGGGTTGATCTCCTGCAGCCCTTCTAGTACGTGTCTGTAGGATTCAAAGTAAGCATCAGATTCTACCATTGCAAACGTCTCTTTGCTTTGAATAAACCGATCAACTTCCGCGGCTTCAGTGTTTTCAAACCGCACTTCCAGCTGTCCATCACTAAGCCCTTCGGGATCTCGGTTTTCCACGGACGCAAAGACAAGCGTGTTGAAATCATCTGAAGACAGGCAAAGTAGAGAGCCAAACTTGAGGCGTTTAGATCTCTCCCACTTAACTCGCCTCACTTTGGAATGAGACGGGTTAAACTTGATTTTGAAGACCCTGCCTTTCCTGTTACTTACGGGATACAGCACTGTTACACCATGGTATACGGAGACATCATTTGCTCGTCTAGTGTTGCTTTTGGTCGGTTCTAACAAATCTTTATCCTTTGTGAGCTGCTTAATGCCATCTCTAAGTGGGATTACAAAATCCTCTTTCAGCAACCGAAACTGTACATCAAGGTAATGATCAAGGTCGTTGAACCTTCTGTCCGTAATGTTCTTACGAAGGAAAGGCCTGGAGCAAAGTAGGTCTGCCGCGGAAGGAATAACGCTTAGTTCTCTAAAATTCTGTGGGGGTTTTAACTGGGATTCCTGATCATGCCCAGACATTGCCAGGCGAATCACTTCATCTTTTAGCTCGGTTACATGTTGGAGTTTCTTTTCAAGATCGTCGGTGTTTTCGATGAGATTCTTTTCCTTTAATACGGCCAAGGAGATCCTAAGCTGCGGAATAGGAAGACTGTGCACAATGCTTTCACCCAATTTCTGAATCATCGTCAGAAAAATGGCTATAAGATCCATTATCACGGTATCAACCCCAGAATTGACACCTAGATAGGCCATCTTGTTGATAAAACTTGAAAGAACTGTTCCAGTGAGAAACCTCTTTGCTTTAGTAGAGCGAAGTATCTTCTCTGCGTTTGCGGTCATGATGTTGTTTGATGAACACAGCATACGAAAAGAAGTAATAACAAGCTTTAACAAATCCGGTCTTATATCGTCCATGGATAAGAGTGCTTCAAACTGTCCGGCTTTTCTAGTTAATTCTAATACGGCCTTTTCTGGGAGTTCTTCTCTACAAATGCTCTCCAGCGCCTTGAATCCAATAGGCTTCGAGTCATGACCGCTCTTTTGTCCATCCTCTCCATTATTCATCCGCCGACGTTTCGGTCCCTCGTTCGCTCTTGGAGCATCATCAGACCGGCGCTTTCGACTACGATACGTATTAGGCCGTTCTGGGGTCTTCCACGGGTCTCTGCGACTACTTGACATCTAATGAGTATCGATTAAAGTAATGCCCCAATAGTGTTGAAAAAGAGAAACAAAGAATCACTGTTAGCAGGTTGTCCTAAACCTTACTGAGAAGACATAGCTTTTTGGGTTACCTGGAAAAAAATGTACCTGAAAATGGAAAATTTTTGAACTTTGCACTTAAAGAGAATTGAGGGTTATACAACTGTTATAATGTCATATGTCGCGGCACAAAAAGTCATGGATGTGTTTCAAAGCAAAGAATTCACATTAACAATTGCCTTGTATCTTTTTTCCAAACGTAAAACGTTTTGCGAAAATTTGAGAAAATTAAAAACCACAATTCTCGTCGATTTTCTTTGCATCAGTGGAACAGTGAAGAAAACCTGATAATGAAGCTAGTACTTTTGCCGCAACCTTGATGGCTCTAGCAAGTCAATGCAGAAGAGGAACTATAATTTTAATTGCTCGAGGGGTTTGTATCCCTTTTGGTTTAGTCTACGAAGGTTAAAAATTCGTTTGGTCGGCAAAGACATCCAGAAAATAATTTCAGCAACTTGCTGCATAAATTGCATAAATTTGTGGCGTGCATGCTCCCAGTTCGTATTGTTCAAGCCCACAAGAAAATTAACTGCATCAAAATCATAATCAACGCAATTAATTTTGTCTTATATATTGTTTTTGAAGACTTAAGATGATCAAATCTAGTTTTCTCAGAGATGGGTTAATTTTTCCTATTTCTTCGCTGCTTTTGTGAAATTTCGGGCTCTCATATCAGCAATCATGATCAGTGTCAAACTAAAATTATTGAATTCAAAGCTGACAATAGTTAAAATTTTCACCAATTCCGATCGTCGATTAGTTGAACCCGATCCAGAACTTTGCATACTGTGTCACTGTTCGGGGTACTTTGCAATTTCATGGCATGAACTGATATTAACTAGCCCTATCTAGAAAATTCGGTAGGCAAGTACGTTTAGATGGTTTCCACTTTGACAGAGACCTGAAACTGTTGCAGCTTACCTTGAAGGCGATTTATCTGTGCATTTTCTCAACAAACTCTGTGAAGGAACACAGTATACTCCTTTTATTCCAACGAGAGCTATTATATTCCGAGAAATATTCTTCTTCCTCGGTAATTTCACAGAAACACCCTATGACATCACGACAACTTCAGCTGCTTTCTTTTAATTGGCTAATTGGCTTCGTTATTTTTAGGTACTGTTTCTCAGAAATAGGACAAAACAACTTTTTTCGTCCTGTTTAATTTAAATGACATCTTCACTTCGTGAACCATTGGTAAAAATTTCTGACTTTTTCCATGTTGTTTTTCACTTTATTTTTTATGTATCTAATAAGGTGTAAAATTAGCTCTAACGGAACACTTAAATTCGACTTCTTTCTTTATGAAACTACAATCAGTATAAAACCCAACTCATTTTACGCGCTTGACCGCATTCTCTCGAGTTCTCTTGACAAAAAACACTGACATCAGTCCCATTCTTCTGCTTTTTACTGAGGATTTGCTTTCGTCTTCCATAATTTACGGTCATTTTGTGTAGATCTGGGGTTTTGAAATTCTTCCACCTCTGAAGTCGCCGCATCGTATTCATTGAGTTATTTTCATTATGGACAGTAAAAGGCCGGTTTAACCTGCTTCGAACGAACAAACCATTAAAAGACGTCAAGTTAACTAATTAATTTTTTTTTTCATTAATTTACATTTCTTGGTAAAAATAAGAAAAACCATATGAGGAACTGTTAAGCAAGTTCCCTTGAAATGAGCTGCCAGGGCCTGTTCAAAGAATAATCAGTCTGGATTTCCGAGAAACCTACCGCCTCTAATAATAACATTGCTACGTCAAGCCCTTTCATTGGCTAGAACCTTGAGCAGCAGCCAAGTGAACTGGGCGCTAGATAAAAAAAAAGTGATCATTAAGATAAAAAGAGGTAATGTACATATGTGCAGTGCAGTGTTCAAAGGAGCCCCCGGGGGGGGGGGGTACTGCCATATATGGGCTATATGGGTATGTGCCGCTGTGA